TCTCTCTCTCTCTTTCTCTCTCTCTATCTCTCTCTTTCTCTCTCTCTATCTCTCTCTCTTCTCTGTCTCTCTGTCTGTCTTTCTTTCTTTCTCCCTCTCTACCCCCCTCTCCCTTTCATTCTTTCTCTTTCTCTTTCTCTCTCAGTATCTCTCTCCCTTCATATAATAGGTGTACATCTGTTTCTTGTTTCTCGATTTTTCTGGGGTATTATAGATTATGTTATATTATTATCCTTGTGATATTTGTTCACGTACTATAATGTGTGTTTGCATAATATTATTGTGATGTATGTTTACATATTGTCTTGTATTTACGTGTTGTGAAATTGTGTTCACATATTGTAAACTGCTTGTGTTTGTGTACTGACCTGTGTGTTTATAGCATATTGCAATGCATGTTCACGCGTATTGTAATGTTTATTGGGGTATTTTGTTGTAACCGTCATTCGGTGTACGTATTTATTGAAAAAGGGGTCTTTGCGTGAAACATCTAACATAAACTTTATTTGGGTTTCTTTGGTAAATATTCCTAACTTGTAGGTCACTGTACGAATTGACAACACAATCCCTTTTTATACCATAGACTTCAATTGCAACTGCTAAAAAGAAAAGTTCCTGTGCTTCGACAAACGCTGTTGTCCAAGAATTGTTTGTTTTCTGACATGTGTTAAGGCCATTTCGTTCTACGATTACCCCCCTTGCCCTTGTTTGTTTTCGCAGGGGCAATAACCACAACTCTTCCTGTGTTATACTTGCAGGCGTGAAATAATACGTCACGCCATGTTTTACCTCCCCTGAGATTTCCGTCTCTGAAATACTTTGCTTCTCATCCGCGCGCAGACAAAAATCAGCCACATGAAAGAGTTTCACGTCTCATTGAGAAAACTGGGTCACTGCAGAGGCGGCACCGCGCGGAAATCTCCGGGAAGTGGTAGGAAACCACGTATGTGTACGAACGATAATTTTTAATGTTTTGTTTTTTTTTTATATTTTTTAGTTATGTTATAATCTTCAAGAGGGTATGTTTTAATTCTCAAGAGAGGCCTGATTCTGAGTAGCAATAGAAAAAAAAGAGCTGAATGAGTAGCAATAGAGCATTTTTGCTTCCAAACTAACCGCCCTAGACACACGAGAGTTTTGTTTTCGCTTCTCCAATAAAGTTTCCTCAATATTAAAAGAAAAATGAAGAAGAAAAAGGTCTAGAATGTACTGACATAACACTCTTAAACCTGTCCAAGACAGCCATTCATTATCGAGGAGGAGAAAGTGGTCTTCTTGGACAGGTGGTCCTCTTGGATAATGCTGCTATGATATTGAAAAAAAATACAATGGGGAAGGAGGGAGTGGGGTGCGGGTGGTCGTTTGTACAATAACAATGTTCTCGTCTTAAGCGGTGGGTCAATTTGCCAGGAAGTGTCGATGAGGCACATTGTGTCTATTTGTTTGGAAATGTGATTGAGTAAGAAGTGTCAATTCGCCAGAGGGCGTCAATTCGTCAGTGGGCCCTGTGGCAATTTAGCCCCCCAAAAAGTCAATGCTTCAGAAAGTGTCAGTTTTGCAAGAAATGTCAATGCACCACGTGTTGTTGTTGTTGTTGTTGTTGTTGTTGTTGTTGTTGTTGTTGTTGTTGTTGTTGTTGTTGTTGTTGTGTCTGGTTATTATTTTTCAGTGCTCTTGGGGCTAAAGCAAAAAAGGAAAAAGACATGGAATTCCAGTTAAGCTCGTTTTGTGTGTTTGTGTGTGCATGTGTATATGTGGGCGCGTTTGTGTGTTCGCGTTTGTGTCTCTGTGTGAGCTTTGGCGCGTGCTGTTTTTTTGGGTTTATTTGTTTTTTGTTGTTGTTGGATTTTTTTTGGGAGGGGGGGTTGTTGGTTGTTGTTGTTTTTTTTTGGGGGGGAAGGCGGGTTGTTGTTATTGTTTCTTTCCACAAACCTCATAGAGACAGCAAACTTCTTTGCTGGACGCAAAGCTTACGATAGCAAAAATATTTAGTAGAAATGCTGCTCACCATGAAAAAGAGAAAGACTGCCGAGGCCATGAGGCGCACTGGTCTGTTGAATCGTAGTTCTAGATACTGGGAAGGAACGTGAAACAAAGAACAGATTTATCTTGTGTCTGAGTACGGGGGGGGG